ACTCGATCAAAATATTATTACTTATAGTATTTGATCAGTAATAGATACAGGCCGGATCATAGTAATATATAGTAATAATAATAATAATAATATAAAATATTGATATTTAATAAGCTGTAATAATAAATAATAATAATAAACAGTAATAAATAATAATGACAGCAATATATAATGATAATTTATAATAATAATATAGAATAATACACAGTAATATACAATAATAATAAATAATAGTAATAATATTAAATAATATTGAATAATAATAAATAATATTGAATAATAATAATAAATAATAATGTATAACAATAATACATAATAATATACAATAACAATACATAGTAGTAACATATAATAATAAATAATAGTAAATAATAATAAATAATGTTGAATAATAATAATAAATAATATTAAATAATAATAATATATAATAATATTAAATAGTAATAAATAATATTAAATAATAATAATAAATAATAATAATAAATAATAAAAATAAGTAACTTACATAATATTTACCGCCCCAGTGAATGTAAGTGACCAAAATGTCGCCATCAATAGAGAAATGCGTTACGGACGACAGTGGAACGCGGTGTTCGTACTCTTTGACCTCTTTCTGAAAATGGAAAATTTGGAAAATTTTTTCCATGGAAAATTTAGAGAAATGGAAATTCTCACTGAGAATTTTTCATTTTCCAATTTCCAAATCGGAAAATTGACAGACCTGATCAACGGAGATCGAGAATTTACTATCGTGAGCGCGTATTCTAATGTCGATATCGTCGCCCTTCTTGTACGGATTGCTCTTTCGTTCCTCTTTGCCCCATTCACCTTTTGCGAACGTATTGAAGACTATCTGGAAAAATTTTATTTTTAGGAAAATTTTTCATTTTTCCAAAATTTTTCCACTTCTCAAAAAAGAATTCAGGTTGAACCCCACAATCCCAAAAAAATTCAACTGCAAATTTTTAAATTTTTAACGCGATTTCAGGTCAGTCCCCCCCCCTCCCACACCATCTCTTATCCCTTGCAGTATAGACAGTAGAAGAAGGCACTGAGGGAAAATGAGAGAAGGGAAGAGAAGAAAAGTGAAAAAAGGAGAGTAAGAATTAAAGAGAGGGAAAAGAACGAAACGAAGTATGTTTCCGCTAGAGACATCCGCTTACCACTATGAATGGTAGAGAAAGAAAAAAAGAAAACCAGAAATAGTGATACAACAGAAGAGACTAACATACAGTCAGAGAAAGAAACAAAAAAATAACATTAAATCCAATTTTCCATCCTCGCTGATTCATTCCATTATTAAATTGAGTGTAAAAATCGATAAATATCCGACCGGAAATTTAACTTTTCCATCTTTTCCCCACTCTCTCACCACTCCTCTGCTTCTCTTCCCTCT